TCACCTGGTAAACAACTTCAGCAAATTCCAGAGTACAAAATCAGTGTGCAAGAATCACTAGCTTTTTCAATTATAAAATGGACACACTTATACTTACTTGACAGCACTAATGAGAGGATTAAATGAGATAATGGAAATGAAAGTATGTGTCCTGAGCATAAAATAGCCTCTCAGAAATGTTTTGTCTTCCTCCTTTGGGGATTCCACCTCAGAAACAAAAGCATTAGTATAAATGACTTGGCAGTGCCAGATCTCTGTCTTCTGAATACAGCCAAAGCCTATTTGGATTCAAGTGTAGCCAGTGAGACTGGAAATCAAGTGAAAAACACAAGGCACTCCCCCTACATGAGTACTGACAACAATCTTCTGAGAGATCAAAGACAAGCTTTTTTTTTTTCTGACATTCACCAAGTCCCAAGGGTTGTGCTGGGTGGTGAGGTTACAACAGAACGCAGACCATGGCCCTTGTCCTGGAGCTTGCAAGTCTCCATGTGACACAGCTGGCATCATTACTGGGGCAAACAAATGCACAGCTGTCCAAGAAAGGTGATGTTGAAAGATAACTTCTGTGGGGTTGAAGACATTCTGGAAAGTTTGTGTAAACATAAATCTTGCTACCTGACAGGTCAACCAGTGAACCTATAGCCCCCCAACATAAATCATAAGAAAGAGCAATTAGACAATGCCCCCAATAGTTAGCTATTATTTACTGACCTGGCATGTTTTATCAAACTTAAAAATAAGCAACTAATAAATTATCTGAATTTCATGATTACGTAGACCGTTTTGAAGCCATGAGTTTCCCACCAAGAAAGTGATGACGTTAGTAATTTCCTCTGTTAGAATCTCCAATCAGGTCATCAATTATTCTAAGTAATGCGTAGCCCTGTGGCACACAGAGGAGTCTCACATGTGTGAGCTGTTCGTTTGTCCCATGTATAGTAATCACCCAAGGCAGAAACTCTAATGCTTTTCGATTTTGCCTCGATTTTCTCAATCGTAAAATGGAGATATCAGAATTACCTACTGAAGGGATAGTGGTGAGCATTAATGAGTTGATATAATTAAAGGGGTTTAAACAGTGACTGAATCAGGTGAGTGGGTTTTCTATTATCATTGTTAATCTAACCTGATACCCAGATAACAATACCAGGTAGAGAGTTTCCAACACTAGAATCCTTCCTTCCACTTACGATCAAAAGATGTTATCCTATGTAAGCTTTCTGAGTTTGGTTTCATGCCCAGCAATAACTAAATTTATGTGGCCGCATAATTATGTAAAGGTAAATAAATACAAAGACATAACATTCCAACAGGGGATCAGGTGTGGGGCCACAGCCCGGCCAGATGAGACCTCATCTTGGGTTGGGTGTATGAGGCAGGAATGACACTGCCAGGTTTGAATTTGGCCATGAACATCTCCTTTGTGCATTCCATGGTCCATTACCACAGCATCCATGGAGTGAAGATATAATAACATGGAGTTAGGGTGGCGTGGGGAGGAGTTTCCACACTAGCTGCTGAGATTAAAAGAGAGGAAGGGAATCTGGAGTCTCTCTCAGCCTAGCTTCCTCTCACGAGTCCTCCCTGGACCCCCAAGGGGAAGGCTGGGCTCTGAACCTTCTCTCCCACCTGACCGCAGTGTTGGTTTAGGGTCAAGGTGCTCAGAGACAAGAGAGGAGCTCACACATATATGTGGTGTGGCAATTCCAATAGGCCAGGCTTGCCCGTCTTCAGGAAGTAACACTTCTCACGATGGTTAGAGGTTGGGGATAGGCGTAGGGTGGAGAGAAAACAAAGAAGTAGAGTTTATGCCCCAACAAGGTAAATCGAATTCCCAGCCCTGCACCAGTCCTTTCAGTGCCTTTGGTCATAAGACATTCATGCAGAACATCCCTCATCACCCAGTCCCATATGGATGCAGTCACAGGACTCAGAAGATGCCCTGTCAACGCTGGCTTCCCTGAGGGGCTCCATCTAATAGCATCAGAAACCACTTCACTAGAAGTGAACTGAAGAGGCCCCTCTGCAGATAGAGGGGAAAGTTCAGGACTTTGCCAAAAGGACCGACAGCTGCAGTGGGAGTGCCAAGTGCCACAGGCCGAGAAGTGGCCTAGATTAAGAAGTTCCATTTCCCCTTCCCCTGTCAAGGATAAGGAAGGCCACGTTCATTTTATGTGCAGGACGATGTGAGGAGCAGAATTGGACCTGTGGCCAGATCAGCTTGGAAATCTCATCAGACACACACAGCAAGGTACTTGTCTTTTTGTCATTCCTCTCCAAAAAACAAAGCCACCAAAAGAGAGAGTCTTCTCATTCTAAGTACCACGTATTCACAGTTAAGAAGGCAGGGCTGTCCAAAGAAGCCATTCCTTCCATCCACTCAAGATACATCCATGCATATATATTCTCGCCTATGTGCCAGACACTGTGCTGGGCTCTGTGGACACGGCAGCAGGCAATTCACACAACACAGAACTTACACTGCAGAAGAGAAGAAACAGTCAAACATATATAATTGACAGTGACATTTAGGACAGAAGGACAGAGGGCCATGGGGGCATGTGAGGTGAGCACGTAACCCCATCACATGTCTTGTATGGAAATGGAATAACAAGTCTAAGGTAGGTGTATTCTTTTGCGACTTGAAAAGCTGAAATGCAGATCTACGTCGTTAACCAGATGTGTGAGCTTTGTCTGTCCACCCCTTTCCAGAACTTCCAAAGAATCTCTAAATGGGACCTAACGCACTTTAAAGCGGACATATAGTAGATATTCACTGAGGCTGTTCTGGGCACTGTGTTCTATTCCTTCATCACTTCTAGTTTTAACTTTTCCTATTTATTCATTTGATACAAACTGACTAACTTCCTCTATTCAACTGTTTCGACATCTCTGACATTCTGAGGGGTGCCCGTCATCCAATCTTTCTATTGTAACCATGAGCTCTACCATTTTAGAGGACTTTTCATAGAGGAATGTGTTGACTCCTTCCATCCATAAAGCCTGTTGTTAACATACTCTCCAGATCGCTTGAACCACTGATGCTAATATGAAATATCCTCATGTCTTCTTGCATCCTCTTTTCTCCCCTTTTCCTGGCTAAATGAACCAGCGGTCTCACACTGCATGGTTGCTGTGGGGAGTGATGGGAACTCCGGGCTTCTGGCCTTAGAAGTGGCAGACGAAGGATCTCTCATGGTGTCCTTGACCTGACCCCTCTTTGTGGGCTTCTTCACCTCCTCCTCCATGCTGCCCTCCCCATGGTTCACGGTGGCCCTTAGCACAGGATGCCTGTTCTTCAGAGTGTCCCCGCAGGGCAGAGCTACCCAGGAGCCTGTCAGGCCAAGGACAGAGAGGCTGCTGTGGTTCTCTCATTTTTACAGACTCTCTATGCCTCAAGCACACAGACACCCCCTAATAACACTTCCTTTGTGAGTTCACTGATGTTTGGAAAACCCCTTGTAAATTCCTACTTCATGGCATTAACAAGAATCCATTCCTGAAAATGTGAATGGTTCTGTTGGTTTCAAACAGCCATCAAGAAAGCTAAGGGATTGTTTTGGTGTCTTAAAATTCTTGTCTGAGTCTCAGTGGCTGAGACAGCAGCCCCAGAATCATACAGAATCAAAACCCAAACATTGTCTTCCTCACGTCAGCAGATCCCAAGGACGACAGGATGGAGCCCCAGGTGTCTTAGACAGCTCAGCCGAAAAGTGGGTGCTCCTGGGACATCTAGTGGCCATAGAGAAAAACACTCCCACCCAGGTAGTAACAAGGGAAGCCTCTAAGGGTGCTTAGGTATCAAGTGCATTTCCCCTCCCCACCTCTAGCCAGGTAAGAAAGCCGAGATCCTGGCCGGGTAAGAACAGCTCACCCAATTTCCCATCTCCAACAGGAGGCGTTGGTACTTATTTCTCGTAGATCATTTCTACCTGAATTTTGTTATGCAGGAACTCCACGTGAATCAGCCATGGCCTGAGTGGTTGAGAAGTTTTAGCGGCCTAGAGTTCACTAGGTATTTGCATCTAAATGCAGTGATTTTCCAAATTCTATCACGCATTCCTTTGTGGATCAAGGCACGGAGGTAGAATCCTAGCTCTGAAACTCTGTGCCTGCCTTCCCTCCTGCCAGACCCCTCCTGAATTCCCTGATTATACAACGCAAGCAAACAAAAATGTTCTTGCCGCTCAGACACTTCATGCTTTGTATCTAAAATAAGAATGTCGCGGAGAAAAACAAGTTTGTGCTCTAGCTACTGACAGGTCTCAGAAAATGGAAACAAAACAGTAAAAGAGAATTCCTGTTTCTCAGCCCGAAGAGCAACAGGAGAGAAGAGAAAATCCAAGAGAACTGGGAATTAGAGCTGTTACACAAGGTAGAGAAAGGAAAAAATAAAAAACCAAGGTTCCCAGTCCCAGAATATCCCTGCAGGAAGCTAAGTGGAACAGTTTTCCACAGAAAGCAAGAGACATGTCCTATAAATAATGTGGTGGGCAGGGCAGCGGGGGGCGGGCAGGATCCCCTGGAGGAAGCGGGGAAGGGCTGCACAGGCCCCTGAGCGGCTGGCTGCCTCCCGCCACAGGAACGCAGTCGCGGGTCCAAGGCCAGGATGTTGAATATTTATATTCTGCTTATAAAATATGCCTTTTATTGAGAAATTTAGACACACTCTACTGTGTCCAAAGAGTCCTTAAAGTCACATCCTTTCCATTTTCCATGTTCTCTTGTCAACAGGCCAGTACCCACAGCCTGGCTTTCACTTGGAGACGGGAGGGTGAGGAGAGGTGCTGTGGTGGAGATGCCTCGCAACTGCCCGGAACATGACTGTCTCACATCATGGGCTTAAAAGAAAAAAAATACATATGTTTATTTGTATCAATAGTTAGAACCCTGAATGGAAGTGTTGGTCATTCTGAATTTTCTAAAATTTATTTTTATTTTTTTAATAATAGTTTGTTGTTGTTTGTAGAGATGGGATCTCGTTACGCTGCTCAGCCTGGCCTCAAACTGCTGGCCTCAAACAATCCTCTGGCCTCGGCCCCTCAAATTGCTGGGATTATAATCCTGAGCCACTCCACCAGGCCTGTTCAGAATTCTAATATACAACGAATTCTTAATGATAACCAAGAAATAAAGACTTGGAGCTCAAACTGTGCCCCTGAGGCCTGCAATTCCTGAGAACCGTGCCTCCTCCTCCCATTCTTCCATTTGGAATTGCGTTAAGCACAGAGACCCGAGGAGCCTGGACACAGCGCAGGATGAGGGTGTAAGAAGCCAAACCCCGCCTCCAAACACAGGGACTCCTCACCAGCTGGTAGGGCTTCAGCGCGCACAGAGGAAGCGAAAGGACGGGCAAGGTGCACAGATGAGGTGGGAGGACCGGAGCCAGGACGTCTGAACCTGGTGAGGAGCTGCAGGGGTGGGCCAGGGGTGAGGAGGAGGAACAGGTGCCGGGGAACTCCTGGGACCCCAGGCTGGCGGCCACTGCCTCCTCTGTCCCTTGGGCACCCTCCCTTTGCCCTGCCCTGGAGAACGTAACTCTTAGCAGGCTCTTGCAGCCTGGACTTTCCATGGCACTGCTGCCTCTGACTCCAATCGCTACCACTTTCCCCCTAAAGCTTCCACCTCTGAAGATTTGCCTCATATCATCTCCTCTGGGTAATCTCTTCTCAGCTTCCCCTTACCCCTAAGTCCCCACCCCTCCATCCCCAAACAGGGAGCATTGTCTCCGGTGGCTCCACTCTACTAGACCAGCAGGGAGACGAGGAAGCTTCCTTCTATGGACCACCCGCTGGGCATAACCTCCTCCCCTAAGGGTGGGGTGTGCATGAGTGCCCCAAGTGCCTTCGCCCAGGCAGGTGCGAGGGCGTGTGAAACCGGAGGCGAGAGCCTGGCAGGCTGCACACCTGGGGGCTGAAAGCAGAAAGGGAGGGATGCCCAGGCAGTCCTTAAAGGGACCTGGGGAAGCTTCATCTTCAACCGCGGACAAGCGTCATTCACCTGAAATGCCAGGACCAGGAAGTCCTGCCGGCCGCAGGCACAGCCTGTCCAACGTGATTGGACATCACTTCCTGCCGTTCATGTCCTCTTGGAAGGTCAGGTGGCCTCTGCAACACGGTATGTGCCGCGTGGAGACTGGGGAGGGGAACGAGGGTCTCCGAGAATCTCAGGAGGCCAGCCCCCGCAGTGCTCACTTGGAGTTCAGGTGCTCAGTAACCTTCATAGAAGGTGGGGGAATCCGGAGAAGAAAAGAGCTGCTCCCACAGCCACCCAGCCGGTGGATGGCAGATACGGGTCTAGAGCCTGCTTAGCTCACAGTACGCTCACCTGAAAAACAGCTGGAAAACCCTCAGGTAACACAACTCCGGTATTTCAGTACTGAAGTTAGCAAACAGCACATTCTTTTGAGAAGTGGGTGAGGCCTCCCAGGACGGTAAAGCTGCACCAGTTTAGGATGCCTGCCCCTTTATTTGGGTGTCTGAGTGTTCCACAAATGACTGCCACTACCACATGTGGTGGGTGGCGCGAGGCACCTTGGCCATAAAGTCCTGCCAGCACGGGACTCAGAGACCGTGCTCGTCAGCGTCGTGCGTGGTGCCTGCATCTGGGGCAAGACAAAGGCAAGTTTTAGAAGGTGCTTCCACATCCCGGCATTGGAACTTCTGGCTGGGGCACAGCACAGAAAATGCCTTTGCCTCTTGTGGATTCTTGCCCAGGGCTGAGAACTGGCCGGCTGCCATGCTGTGTCCCGGGTGCTGCTCCAACCAGACGCCAGCTGGGTCCCTCCTCCCTTCCTGTCTGTGTGCCTGACCAGGGACAGTGGCCCCTGAGAGATGGCTCCTGGGTCTCGAATCCTATACAACACGAGGCAGCCCATCCGTGCTGTCTGTTTTTGTTTTGTTTTGATAATCTCCTCTTATAACAAGGATATTTGATTTCTTGTTAGGATGAGTCAAGTGGGTAAATTTGGTTCCGGAAACTGACTTATCAGCATTATCAGATTTCAAGGAACTAGACTGCATTAAAGACTTCAGTCTTTTGTTACCAACTAAAAATCAACTATTTTTAAATATCTACTATTTCTCATAAATTCATGGTCAGTTTCTCATAAATTCATGGTCAATATCAATACTGTGACTTCCCCAGATGGTTCAGAAAAAGTCTGACAGGCCAGGTGCAGTGGTTCACACTTGTAATCCCACCACTTTGGGAGGCCAAGGTGGGTGGATCTTGAGGTCAGGAGTTCAAGACCCGCCTGGCCACACAGTGAAACCCCATCTCTACTAAAAATAAGCTCGGCGTGGTAATGGGCACCTGTAATCTCAGCTACTCGGGAGGCTGAGGCAGGAGAATTGCTTGAACCGGGGAGGCAGAGGTTGCAGTGAGCTGCGATTGTGCCACTGCACTCCAGCCTGGGCGACAGAGCAAGACTCTGTCTGAAAAAAGAAAGGAAGAGTCTGAAAATGTCTGTAAATGGAAAGAATCCAATTTCCCTCTTCTTGGTTTGTGAAGGCTCCTGCAGATACTGTCTGTTGGCTGCATGATAGACACTTGAGGTACTTTCTTCAGGATATTTACACATACGGTGCACATGCCTTGCTGACAAACAGATCATCCACTCCCTTCACAGCCCATCAGTTTCGCATTTTTAGTAGCCTGAGGTTGGCATCATTGCATATATGTAACAGACTCCCTATATAGGCCTCCTAGATACTGCATGCACTGCTTAAGTTGCATTACAACATGTTACATTTTAAACTTTACTGTGACCACTGATAGCATCTTAGGTGCAGTCACATCACTTACTAATGGGGATACATTCTGAGAAATGTAGGTGACGTTGCTGCTGTGTGAACAGTAGGGAGTATACTCACACAAACCTAGATAATGTAGCCCACCACACAGTGAGGCTGCACATTGTAGCCTATTTCTCCCAGGCAACAAACCTGCACGTTACTGTACTGAGTACTGTAGGCAGCTGTAACACAACGGTAAGTATTCGTGCATCTAAACACACCCAAATGTAGAAAAGGAATAGAAATGTGGTATTATAATGTCATGGGGCTGCTGTCCTGTATGCGAGGCATCGGTGACTAAAACGTCATGCTGGGCACAGCTGTACTGCTGCTGTTATTGCTGTTGTTGTTCGTATCTTACAGCAAAGGAGACGACACAACTGGAGAATCAATACACTTGTTTTAGACTCCTCATCATGTCCAGGGTTAGAATTTAGGCATTTCTTATCCTTTTAACCTTAATCCTGAATTTCAGTAACATTTGGCAGCCCCTGCGTCTGCTTCATTAATATGAGCTCATTTCTTATCCTTTTAACCTTAATCCTGAATTTCAGTAACATTTGGCAGCCCCTGTGTCTGCTGCATCAATATGAGCTCCTATATCCCCATTACTTTGCTTTCATAGGTCCTTTTGGTTTGGTTTGTCATTTTCTTTGAGTTTCTTACCATGAATTCTAACTTGTAGTTTTCATTTTCTTCTATAATAAAGAAGGTATTTGAAGCTGTTTCCTCTAAATACAACTTTACCTGGATGTGATAAATTTGCTACGAGGTCTCCTAGTTTGAACTGCTATTTCTATAACTTGTAATTTCAGCCTTGACTTCTCCTTTGCCTTAGGACACTTTATGAGAGTGCGCCCTAATATTAAATAGTTCAGCTTGGGTCTCTATACAATTTATTTATCTATTTTTTGGATTCTGATCAGAGACTGATGGCTCTAAAATCTCTGCTTTCCTGAACTATCTGAAATGTTTTCATCATCAAGAACCTAATTGAATTTTATAAATTTCATAAAGTACAAAGGACAAAAAATTATAGATTCTATATTTGTAGGATGTAAATTTTATATGTATTATTATATGAAATTATGAATGTAAGATCCTCTTCATCTTTGATTAGTTTACTAGATCTACTAAATTATTACATGAAAATATTTAAAATCATTCATTATATTTGTGCTTTACCAAGTTCTGTTTATATATTTTTATTGGCTTTTGCTTTATATGTTACATGTTGCTTTGTGTGTTATATTGTATCTTATTTTCTAAACAATATAAGGTAATACTAAAAATGCAATAGTCATCTGGAAAGTACAAATTAAAAGCATACTGAGGCATCACTACACTGTAATGTGATGTGTGACAGTGAATTTTCTGTGTCCACTTGACTGGGCTGAGTGATATACAGGTGGCAGGTGAAATATTATTTCTGGGGTGTGCTGAGGGTATTTCTGGGAGAGATTAGCATTGGAACCATCTGGCTGAGTAAAGACGCACCCTCCCTGATGTGGGTGGCATTGGCCAATCTTTTGAGGGTAGGAATAGAACAGAAAGGCATCAGAGAGAGTGACCCTGGCAAAAAGGACATCTGTCTCCTACCCTGGGACATTGGACATTGATGTACCTGGTTCTTGGGCCTTTGGGCTTGGACCAGGACCGATACCATTGGCTTCCGTTTCTCAGGCCTTTGGGTTTAGACAGGAACGACACCAGCTCTCCCACAGCTCTCCCACATTTCCAGGTTACAGACAGCAGATCCTGCGCTTCTCAGTCTCCATGATCACATGGGTTAGTCCCTCATCGTAAGTCTCTTTCCATATATCTATACAGATTCTATTGGTTCTGTTTCTCTGGAGAGCCCTTGCTAATACAAGTGAAAAAGCCAATATGAAAAAGAGATAAAATACCAAGGGTTGATGACGATAAAGAGGAACTCCCACACTATACTGGGAGTATAAATTGGCACAGCCACTTTGGAAAACTAATAGGATTTACTAAAGCTGATGAAACTGCCTTTGCAACATTTGTAACAGTGAGAGAAATTTAACCTAAGGGACTCCATCTTGCTTCTATTCTCACAAGCTAATTGCCTTTGTTACCTTTAAAACAAAGATGGTAACAGTCCCTCCCTGAAACGAACTCCCTCCCTGCTCAGGGACCGAAACTGCCTTTGTAAAATGAATGGAGGGTCACAATGTTACGATTACGGGAGGAGTGTGAATTCTGCTAAAAGGAAGGCTTAAATGTTCTCTGGCTTGCTTTTCTATAATTCCTTGCCTCTTAGGAGTCATGTGGCCAGAGATCACAGGATTGATGACTTCTCCAATTGTTCCTATAGATAACACTACTATTATTTTGTCTAAGATCGTTATTCTGAGATGTTTTTCAGACTTCTGCATTCTGGCAGGCAAATGAATGACTGCACCTGACCCGTGACTCATGACTCAACCAGTCCTGTGGACCCCGCCTGGAGGTGGACTCAGTGCACCAGGACCATTTTCCACACCCCTCTGATTTCATCCTCAACCAATCAGCAGCACGCTTTCCTTAGCCTGCTGTTCACCAAATTCGCCATAAAACCCCTACCTAGCCTCTGAGTTCTCAGAGAGGCTGATTTGAGTAATAAAGTAATAAACTCCTGCTCTGCTTGGCTAGCTGTGTTTATTAAACTTGTTCTCTACTGCAATCCTGCTGTCTCAGTGAACTGATTTTATCTCTGCAGTGGGCAACAAGGATTTGGTGATTACACTGATCAATATGCAATTACATCTCTAGGTATATATCCAATAGAAATGGGTGTATGTTTACCAAAGATGTGTAAGAATGTTCATAGCAGCTTTATTCATAAAGTATTCAAACAGGAAACCCAAATTTCTATAAACAGTACAATTCATAAATAAATTTTGGTATTATACATTGGACATCTATACAGCTACAGGAACTAACAACAAACTGTTGCTACCCACACATCATGGATGAATCCTGCAAACATATTGAGTGAAAGAGGCCAGACACAAAAGGGTACATACCGTATGACTCCATTTAGGTAAAGTACAAAAATAGGCAAAACACTAGCCTAGACAACATAGCAAGGCCCCATCTCTACAATAAATTTAAAAATTAGCTGGTTGTGGTGGTGTGTCCTAGCTACTTTGGAGGCTGAGATAGAAGGATCATTTGAACCCAGGAGTCAGAGGTATCAGTGAGTCATAATCACACCACTGCCCTCCAGCCTGGGCAACAGAGCAACACGCTGACTCTTAAAAAAAAAAAAAAAAAAAGGCAAAAGAAACCTATGGTGTTAAAAGTCAGGATAGTGGGAACCTTCCTAGGATGGGAAATTGACTAGGAGGTGACAGGAGGAGGGTTTCTGAGGCTGTTTCTTAACCTAAATGCTAGTACACGAGTGTTCACTGTCAAAATCCAGGCAGCTACACACTTGCCTTAGATGCTTTTCTGTGTATGTGACACACTCCAGCAAAACTTTAAAAAAAACTAACACATGGCTCTGCACAGTATTTATCATGAAACAGAACATGCAAGGCTTTGTATTTTTTACAAGGTAGAAGAATTCAAGTTTGAAGGAAAATTGTGCCAGGCATTGTGCTAATCCCTTCTCACAAATCACTTTAATTGTCCACATTGCCCATTGAGGTGGGTACTATGATCCCATTCTCCAGATTAGGGAAATGAGGCTCAGAATGGAATCAGTTCATCTGAGACCACACACGTGCCACCTGACCATGAGGAGGTGAGGAAGGCAGCCCGGTGGGCCGAGAGCCTGCAGTGGGAACAAATCCCAGCAACCCCGTGGCTCGGCCTGTTTCGCTGTGTAGAGCAAACATGATCTTTTCCCATGTGTTTTATAGGACTTGCTTAGTGATTCTCCACAACCAAAATGAAGCCTTAGCATTCTTCCGTTGAACTTCTCGGCTTCCCTTGAGGACTGATTTTATTTCATCACCCTTTGTCATGAGTCTGGTATTGTTTACAGTGTGATTTTACACATTCAATTTCTTCCATAACAACATTTACTCTACAATGTTCGACCTAATTGAATTTAACAATCTTACAGCTTGTTTAGGGCATTTGATGTTTTCACATCACAGCAATTTAAACTGAGAGAAAAAAATGCTTACGCAAAATACCTGTTTCCAAAATCTTTGGTTTTTGGAAAAGGTGCATATAAAATAAGGCTAAAATGCAGAACATAAAACCTCATAGAAGGAGAAGAAACATAATACAAAGGTCATGGTTGAATATTAAATGTAGCTCTAAGCTTTCTGCAAGACAAGAAGAACATAAATCTTATCTGATAAAAGGAAATAGATCAGTTATTCAAAGAAGACAATCTTTCAGGTACAAGTTTCCAAGAAGAACGCCACAGAAACATACAACTTTGTCAAAAGGATTGGCAATGAGTGATATAAATTATAAACAGAGTGATATTCAAAAATGTCATTATAAGAGGAAAATTTTATTTTTAGAGAGTGAGTTCAAGGGAAACACAAAAGAATAAAGGAAGAAAGGGAGGGTTTGAATTTTAAAAGCCTCCCAACTTATTTCTCCTATCTAACCGTAACTTTGTACCCATTGACCAACCTCTCTTCACTCTGCCTACCTCTGCCCCCACCCCCGCCTCTGGAAACCACCGTTCTATTTTCTGTCTCCAGGAGATGAATATTTTTTTTTAAGATTCCACATATGAGTGGGATCACGCAGTATTTGTCTTTCTGCGTCTGTCTTATTTCACTTACCATCATGTCCCCTAGGTTCATACACATTGCAAATGACTATAGTTAACAATAATGTAATGTATATTTCAAAATAGCTAGAAGAATGAATTTTGACTGTTCTTATCACAAAGAAATGGCAAGTGTGAGATGATAGATACACTAATTACCCTGATTTGATCATTAAACGATGTAAACGTGTTGAAACATCACACAGTACCCTGTACATTGTCATGTGTCAATCGAAAATTAAATCAAAAACAGGCCAGGTGCAGTGGCTCACGCCTGCAATCCCAGCACTTTGGGAGGCCGAGGCGGGCGGATCACCAGGTCAAAAGATCGAGACCATCCTGGCCAACATGGTGAAACCCTGTCTCTACTAAAAATACAAAAATTAGCCAGGCGTAGTGGCAGGTGTCTGTAGTCCCAGCGGCTCGGGACGCTAAGGCAGGAGAATCGCTTGAACCCAGGAGGTGGAGTTTGCAATGAGGCATGATAGCACCACTGCACTCCAGCCTGGCAACAGAGCAAGACTACATCTCAAAAAAAAAAAAAAAAAAAAAAAGAAGAAGAAGAAGAAATTAAATCAAACAAACAAAGGCAGCAGAGGCCCACGAGGCCATCACTGTGGTGTGGCTTTGCAGCAGAGCAGGCCCGGGCCGGGCTCAGGAAGCCACTCCCCAGCCAGGGCAGGCACCCTCCACCTCCCGGGCTTTAGCTTCTCATGATGGAAGGAATGGAATGAGTACTTTCCCTGACTGCCTCCTGGTCAGAGCACCCTGTGAAAAGCAAAATGCTCCACCAGTGTCAGTCCATCAGCTTGCCTCCAAGCAGCACCATCAAAATAGAAAAAAACCAACGCCACTTCCCAAGGTGGTGGGGCAGTTAAAGTTGCCACCCCCTATTCTCCTGGCAGTCCTTATTTTGAGGGTGACTTCCATTTGTTCCACTTACAGTCATTACAAAATAGAGTCAGGAACGGTATTTAATAGGAAACCTCAGTGTGTGATGAATCAGCAGAGAATCACGAAAATGTGAGCTTTCACTCTGAGCAGGCCACGCCCAGTATTTCGTCCTTCCCCTTTGGCATAAGGCTAAAACAACAACAAAAAATCCCCTCAAAGTCATGAGAGACATAAAATTTGGGGACAAATTCACTGAGGCCTTTATTCTCCAGAAAAGCATGTTGTTTTCTCCAAGCTGACAATGGTGAATTCTAAGCTGGAGATTACCAGTGAGCTCAAGACTGTGTGTGTGCGAGATGCATGTACACGGAAGTGTGCGTTCACGGGTGTGTGTGTGTGTGTGTGTGTGTGTGTGTCCACCAAGGCCCAGAACCTGGGAGGTGCAATGTTCTCAGTGTTCTTTTCCTGAGTATCCCCATGGTTGCTACAAATGATTTCCCAATCCATCAAGCTGCAGGGACCAGTGCTGCTGAGATGGGAGAAGTGGACGCGGTGTTTGGCCACAAAAAAGGGCAGCATCCACTACATAAGCACCTGGACTCTTAGGCCCTGCCCCATTACTCCGGCCGCGCAGTCCCCTGCGTGTTTGTCATAGCCAAAACGCAAGTCCAAGGCGAGGCAGCTAAGGGAGAGGAGTGATGCACCACCAAGCCAGAGAGGAGGCGCGGACAACACCCAGGCCGGCCGCTGCTGATGTTCCTCTACATGATCTAAGCTGAAGGAGAAATGTGACCTCGCCAACACCTGAAACACACACTTGAGATTTAATGAGTTTGTGCGTGTTCCACTCAACTGAGCCAATACTGGCGTTATTCACTAAGACACACACTGCAAAACGGTTCACTATCAACTCAGGCCACTTGAGAATGTATTTATAGAGAGATTTTTATACATTTGCATCATCCTGTCAACTGTAAACCTAAACAGACAGTAGGCTTCTGAGGAACTGTTTTTAAATGCACCGTTCCAGTGGTATTTCTCAACATGGGATTCTCAGACCACATGTGTCAGAACGAACTGGGAGAGCTTTGGTAAGATGCAGATTCTCGGGCTCCACAGCTGGCCAACTGAGACAGCCTCTTTGGGATTGGTGCTTAGGGATTTCTGTCTTTCTCAAGCTCTCCCAGTTATATGCACGCACTATGCATTTTGAGAAGCTCTCCCCTTTGAGTTAGTTCAGTGAGGTTTACCCCTTGGTGATGAATACACCAGAGACCGCCCGTGAGCCAGTGCTCTGAGAAGCGAGTTAGCGCACAGGCGTGGACGTGCGCTTAGTGCACGGTGGCGGACGTGCACTTGTGTCTCTGATCTCAGTGACTCGTGAGGATCGGCACCAGTGGCTTCACACAGCAGCCTGATTTGCTTTGGAAATGGAAGCACTGTGAACATGCAACATCTCAGAAACAGGCCTATGGATCTTTCCACAAAGGCTAGAACTGCATCATTGGCTTTCCAACTTGAACCTTTACATTTTATGTTCATTTTTCCTGTGTCTCCCATTCAACTAGGGTTGAACATTTCCATTGAAACAAATGGAGCTTATCCATCAGCCTCAGGGCAAACAGTGTCTCCCCAAGACTTAGGAGTAAGAAAAGAGTCACAGAACGACCTTCTGGAACCTGCTTTCTCCCTCACAGCCCACACTAGGTGGTCACAGCCGATGCTCCTGTGACACAGAGGACACTGCGCTTTCTCAGAAAACGTGCCTGAACGCAGCTTGCGCTGCCCCTAGAGTTGGTCCACCTGCCTTGACATGTGACACACATGGCTGCCTCTGTGCCCCACACGAACCAAGAGTAAGGAATTCCCCAGTACACTTTCTAAACAGACTTTAGGCAACATTTTTCAAATAGGATGAGGAAAAGGCAAGGACTGTGGGTCAGATACATTCCAGTTGACCGTTACGCCTCACTCTGATTCCACCTGCTCTTTGCAGAGCTGCCATCGGTGGCCAAGTCCTCTCTGCCCTTTGCTCAGCTGAGGTCAGCCTTCCTTTACCTGCCTCACACTTTCCCCCTTTCCTTCTAGACATGGCTTGTGTGTGACCTTCTCGTGGGTTGAGTGAGAATAAACGGGATGCCCATATCCACCACTCATCCTGACAACTGTTTCCCCAAGCCCAGCCCTCACCTCCCTTCTTTTCTACTTTCTGATAGATATTTTCCCATCGACAAGAAAAAGAATGAAAAGAAAACATTTTCTTAACATCACCATGATTCCTGGCACAACTGCATGTTCATCTGTGCTTCCAACATTGTTTAACCTTCGACCTATAAGGTATTTGATAAAACGGATACTGATATTTTGTTTAGCTTTACTTTATGATGGTATCTTTTACACCCTGTGAGATTTCTATTTACACGTGAGATTCTGATTCTGAATCATTTAATTTGGACACAGGCATCATAGATTATGCTACTCTGACCTGGGTCAAAATTTGTCAATAGGGAAAATGGGCTTGAGAGAGAGAGAAACAAAAACCCTTTATCTATAAAATTCAGGTTGAAACTTCCTTTATTAAAAATCCAAATAACTTATATAACAATTAAATTGCCAGGAGATTCTTCAAAACATGCCACCTTTTATTTAAGAAATAAGCTTCTCCCATTTTCCAGTGTGGTTTGGAGCTACTGTGGGTTGAGAATCAAGCTAAGTGGATAGGGCTGCACCATTTCAGCCACATCCTACTCCTATCCCACAATGTTCCTATAGATAAGAGCACAGGCAGGCATTGTGATTTTGCTGTATTTGTTGTTTCACAGTAAAACTGCCTTAATTGTGCTTGTCCACATGCAGCTGTAACCATGTGATCCACCAGCACCTGGCCTCATTGTTCGTACCCCCTAAGTCTCCGGGTCTCCCTCCCTAAAATACTGCAGTATTTCAGTTCATGGTGCTCCAATCCGAGCAAAAGATGCTTGTAATGGGGCCAACCACAACCTCTCTCCTCAAAAACTGGGAAGAGTTTTATAAAGGAACGACAGCAAACAACCAGCAAAAGCTGAAAAGAAGGGCCTCAGACTACTAAAAAACTTAAAGTTGGGGTGCTTTGAAGCCACCCTTTTTTCCCCTTTCAATTGGAACAATTTGGATCCATAGGAGAGGAGGCCCAGTTGGATTTTCCTCAGGTCATTTCTCCTCATTAAAACTGAACTTTACAAAATTGGTGCTTGGCAAGCTCTGTGTCCTAGACCCCTGTCTCCCCGGACCCCGAGGATCTATTTACCCTGGCCTTCCAATGTCCAGTGTCCTGGTGGTAGCCTCCTCTCCAACCCCACCTGCGTGTCTGTGGAACACAAAAGTATAGTTACACCTGGTTTCCTGTGAAAGGTGGTGCTGTGAATTTCTACACTCCATACTCTAATGGCTACCTGGGGCATGCTCTTAAAAACATATAGACATTTGCTGTTGGGTGAGCCATATACCACCTGGGAGGCCTCAGGACTTAACTTCTCAAGCCTCCGATTTTCTGATTTGAAAAATCAGGTTTGTGAGACACACAGGGCCTTTGTCCAGAGCAGGATGCACAGAGAGCACTCAGTGGAGGTCATCTCCCTCCTCCCCAGGCCGGAACCCTGACTCGCACTCTCTCCTGTTTGGCTGGCATAGGGCACTCGCCATTTGGTTTGGCCACCCAGCATCTCAAGCCTGTCTGTGTTTGGGGGATTTCTGCTGAATGGCCTTTAGTGGAAGTTTTAGAGGAACTGCTACTTGAAATGCTCGTCTGAGTATGCTCACCTCACCAAATGGTGCTTTGATTGGCCAAACATTGCCCGGCTTCAGTCTTCTTGCTTCTAGGGCAGCTGCATGCCGCCTGACTCCGCCGGTCAGAAAGGCCCTCACGACACATAGGAGCGAGTGGCCCAAGCAGGGAAGGTCAGAGCTCGGCCTGTCTTTGGTGGGGACGGTGCTAGAGGTAATTCAAAGTGTGCCTTCCTGGAGCAAACATGGTGTCATTATGACAGCACTGATAGCTGTTCTTAAACCAAGTTCTGGTACAGAAAACAATGGACAAAGCCAACTACAGAATTCCCCCAACCCCCGTCACATGCAGGATTGGGAGAACACATGGCAACTTACAAAGGGCAGAAAAAGAAACTCACCATCTACAGACCCCTCCAGTCCACGGAACAGCAAGAGACAAAAGGAAGAACCACCAGAGCAAGAACAAATAAACGACCGCTCAAGGCCCAAGAATTCCTATCGAGAGCGAGAAAGAAAAGTGCCCTTTTATGAACTTGGTAATAAAAGAAACCTAAATAAGTCAAAGTGCTTGCCAAGTTTTAAATTCTGACTTGCCAGATGCAGAATTCTGATTCTGCATATTCTCAAGACTCAACTTGTGAGAAGCTGCGAATCTGCTTCCACTATATTTGTGCTCTGTCAGGAAGGAGGCCCTGAGGCTCTCCCTACTATGTCCATTCCCAGCAGGCTTTCCTCCCGCCGGGAAAGTCTGCAAGGTGGAGCTGTCAACACCAGTTTGGTAAGTGAGTAGTAGCTGGTGCAGGGATGACCAGCAGCTGCAGCCACAGCCAGGCGCAAAGGCAGAATTTAAAGTGGAACAATCAAGACAGTGTTTCTAGTGCTGTGGTGACATCACACACCATGAACGTTTTCTTCACTGTGTGCACGGAGCAGAGAAAGAAATTTTCGCTAATTACAGAGAGGCAGATCAGGGAGCAATCCAGATCTTCTAACAGAAGCCTGCACTCTCCTGGTTTGTGGTGGTGGAAACAATAACTTTTTAAATCGTCTCTGATAGAAGGTATGTGAGCGCTGAAGCAATGACCACAAAACTGCCCCTATTTCCCTGCGGGTGTCACGGGGCTGCCTGTCTGGGCCATTGCTTGGGATGAGCAGGTTTCTCTGGATTTGTGTGCTCCCTTTTAGCCAAGACTAGAATTACCTATGATCGGTGGAATCCAAAGTCCTAAGAGTCCCAGGATTCCACCCAATTTCTGGGTGTTGTGCTTCCTTATTATAACAGTAACTCCTGTTCTAGTGAGCTGTGAATTAGATCAGAGGTTCACGAGCTCCAGCCCACGGGCCAAATGCAGCCCCTGCTTGTTTCTGTAAACAGAGCTGTTTGGACTCGAGAGGCCAACTCACTTTCCTGTTTGGGGCTGCATTCGTGCAGCAATGGCAGAGCCGAGTCATCACCACAGAGCCCATGTGACCCCGCAGAGCCTCAAATCCTTACTCTCCTCACTTTCCCGACGATGTCTGCTGACCCTGGGTTGGATGCTATCTTACTTCTGAGCACAAACAGAGGTTCCCTGCTGAAGTGCTTCCGTGGTATGTCCTGCTTCCCTGGTACGAACCACTGTGTGCACGGGAGGAAACAGAGTAAGAACTCCCTTCCCAACACAGACTATGTTGGAATATCAAAAATAACCAGAGGGTTGGGACTCCAATGTAAACATAGAAAAGAGGAACTAAAGCCCACTGGCACAATCGAGGAAGAATTTGCTTTTATAGGTGTGGCCTTTTCTGATCCCACTATAGCAGATATTGGGTTTAAAAACTGTAAAACAGACCAGAGTGTATATTTCTTAAAAATCTAGCCTACTTGTTACTAACGTTTTACTGGGGGGAAAGGAGGAGCAATATTTCTGAAGAATGATATATACAAAGACATCCACAATTTCACTTACAAGTTCTAGGGGTTCATGGGCCCCTAATAAACTAATCCACGAGCCCCAGATTAAGAGACATCGAGATGGTCTGGGCCAACATGGTAAAACTCCGTCTCTACTAAAAATACAAAAATTAGCCAGTTGTGGGGGTGTGCACCTGTAGTCCCAGCTACTCAGAAGGCTAAGGCAGGAGAATCACTTGAACCCAGAAGGCAGAGGTTGCAGTGAGCTGAGATTGCACCATTGCACTCCAGCCTGGGCAACAGAGTGAGACTCTCTCTCAATAAATAAATAAATAAATAAAAGTACTAGTCAAGAACCTGTTTTCAATTAGCTTAATTAAAAATTAGCAAATGGTTATCTGCCAGTTAATTTAAAATTGACAGCATCGGACAGGTGTGATGGCTCACGTCTGTAATCCCAGCACTTTGGGAGATTGAGGTGGGCAGATCAGAAGGTCAAGAGACTGAGACCATCCTGGCCAACATGGTGAAACCCCATCTCTACTAAAAATACAAAAATTCGCTGGGCGTGGTGGTACAGACACGCCTGTAGTCTCAGCTACTCGGGAGGCTGAGGTTGGAGAATCGCTTGAACCCAGGAGATGGAGGTTGCAGTGAGCCGAGATTGTGCCATCTCAATCAATCAATTAATAAAAACTGACAGCAATTACTAAGGGCCAAATGAGTGGTACAGACAATAACGATATCTGAATTGAGAAAAGAAAGAGATAATTCTTGTTTAGTGAGGGCAGCCTTCACAGAAGAGATGCGATTCGTCTATGATCTCACAGAATTGCGAAGTTTTAGACAAGCAGGAAGGAGCAGCAGGGCTGGGCTGCAAATGTCTTCAAGGCTGAGAGAGATCTTGTCCTTGGGTGTATCCCTGTGGGCCCCAGGTGGTGGGGGAGCTAAAACATCCCTAAAAGTCACCTAAAGAACGTTCAGGTGTCTGTTCCAGATTCTACAGTGTACCTAACCAGTAAGAAACCACACTAGAAAACTCAAGCTAACCTGCCATTATTTAAAAAGTCTGCTTACCTACTCCTCCTTATTCCACTTCCATACCTCTTTGAGGCCAGACATTCTTCCTCTACTTCAGCCAAGGCAACACATTGTAACAAACTCAGCCTAAATGCAAGCAGATAAGGACAGTCCAGCTGTCTTCCACTAATCCTGAGGCCAGGGAGATTTGCAAAACACCAAAACACTGTCGTTCTTCTTACTCATTGTCTTTGGGGCTTTGGAAAATGTAGTTACTTTCATAAAAATAAGGAATTTATGCAATGGAATTTTTATTGTGCTTTCAAAGTGAATATGTATTTTTGAAACTTCTCAATTTTAATTTCTAGTGTTGTAAATATTAGTAGATCTAGCCCATCAGAAACAAAAGGTACATAGGATCCTCTCTCTCTCTCTCTCTCCTCTCTCTTTCTTCTTCTTTTTTTTTTTTTTTTTTTTTTTTTTTTTTTGAGACAGGGTCTTACTCTGTCATCCAGGCTGGAGTGCAGTGGCGTAATCTTGGCTCGGTACAGCCTCAGCCTGCAGGCTCAAGCGATTCTCCAGCCTTAGCCTCCTGAGTAGCTGGGACTACAGGCGTGAGCCATGATCACCCAGCTAATTTTCATATTTATAGTAGAGATGGGCTTTTCCCATGTTTGTCAGGCTGGTCTCAAACTCCTGACCTCAAGTGATCCACCCGCCTCGGCCTCCCAAAGTGCTGGGAGAACAGGTGTGAGCCACCTCGCTCAGCCAGATCCTCCGTTTTTGAGAGCATAAAGGGGTCCTGAGACTCCAAGTTTGAAGAGAACCACTACTTTATATAAACTAAGTACAACTCAATGACATGCCTCCTGTGAATCAGGTTTTTCTGGCCTGTTTTTCTCATGTGTGTTTTATTTTTTTCTGAGTTAGGCTGTGTGCCCAGGAACCCAGAAAACCAGCCTGTCCTTGTGGCCTGTAAAACTCCTAACCTTCTGTTCCAAGTCTCCACGGCCACAGCTAAACGAAGGGGTTTAAGAATACCATACAGACAAGGCACAGTGGTTCACACCTGTAATCCCAGTACTTTGGGAGGCCAAGGCAGCAGATCACTTGACCCCAGAAGTTCAACACCAGCCTGGCCCACATGGCAAAACCCGTCTCTATTAAAAATACAAAAATTAGCTGGTTGTGTTGGTGCACACCTGTAATCTCAGCTACTCGGGAGGCTGAGGCGCGAGAAGTGCCTGAATCTGGGAGGTGAAGGTAGCAATAAGCTGAGATGGCACCACTGCATACCAGCCTGGGTGACAAGAGTGAGACTTTGTCTCAAAAAAAAAAAAAAAAATATATATATATATATAAAAAACATAAATTGCCCCAAAATGTGACGAAACTTTTAAATATGAGTAAACCTAAATGTGCTCACTCCATGGGGGTGGCCCTGCCCTAGTGGCTTGCCAGAGTCCAAGGTCCAGTTTTCACTCTTACAATTCAGTTTAGTTGAGTGAGTAGGTCTAAGACTTAATATTTGTTTTCTATTAATAGTCACCAACACTGGGAATCCTGGGGCATTTGATAAAGTCCTGGCCAGGGAGAATTACTCATTTATTTGTCTCACTGATTTTGGGTAGATTGGAAAGGTTTGTGTAATACAATACTTTTCATGGAGACAATAAAAATTCAGACTTTTTTCTAGATACATAAAGCATTAGTTTAATTTTTTTAAAAGATATGTTAGGAGGCTGAGGCAGGAGAATGGCGTGAACCCGGGAGGCGGAGCTTGCAGTGAGCCGAGATGGCGCCACCGCACTCCAGCCTGGGCGACAGAGTGAGACTCCGTCTCAAAAAAATAAAAAAATAAAATAAATAAAATAAAAGATACGTTTCTCAGAGGCCTGCACTAAGTCCTTTGATGTTAGGTAGCAGGTGAAAGTCCCCAGACCTGCAAGGTCTGAGTATCATTTGAAAGCAAGACCACTCAGCTAACCTCCACACTGTGTGTGAAGCCACCAAATTGGACAGAACTGCTCAAAACATAGAATTTCAAAAATCTAATGAAAATGAAACAAAAGCAGTCAATAGAAGAAAAAAAGCCATCGAGTCAGGAGACATGCATGGAGAGGCTCCTCTGTGTGTGTTTCTGATCGGGCTAGAGGGGCGCATTGCGTTTCCCTCTGTTCTTGATGGCCAGACCCTCGTGGCATCAGAGATGAGCTCTCCTTTTCCATTAACGAGTACGCAAATGCTGGCTGTGCGCAGAGGTCTCTCTGGTGCCTTCCCCCACCCAGAATATTCTGCTAACCTCTTGGTTTCCGCTCAGACTGGGAAAATGTTCTCATGAACCCTGACCTGGAAGAAGACCCTGAGGAGAACCCGGGCACACAGCAGCCGTTCCAGGCCTCAGCTTCAAGGGGGCTCACGAAGGTTCTGGATCCTTGCCCAGCCTGCACTGGGGACCTGGTGTGGCACTGAGTGGCTGTGAGTGCTCAGTGTCCCCCATCTCGTGCTAAGCACAGTGAAGGAGGGGGAGATTGCGCAGTGTGCCGATGGAGCAGTCGCCTTCACCTGGCTGCGTGTCCCTCCATCATGTGGCAGGTGAGCCCTGCCATCCAGCCTGTGCGACTGCCTCAGGAAGTCAGTGCCAGGGGAAACGTGGGAAAGGGAAAGCAGGAGACTGGAGCAACTTTTTGGCTATTAGAGCTTATTTGGCTTTTGTCACGTATCAACAATCATCTTTTTACTAACCAGAAAAGAAGGCCATAGAGTTTTTCTGTAGCAAGTCACTGTTTATGGAAGAGGAGACGCTTTATCTGCATCGCAGTTCCGAAGATTCCACTCTGTTCCAGTCATTGTTGTGGGCGCACTTTCAACATTTGATTAAGAGCCATAAGGGTGGCTTCCTCCACCCACAGGAAAATTCCTTTGAGGACTCATGAGACCATCGACATTTAGCAGCTGTTTGAAAGACTGTTTAGACTCCTGGGATGATGCTGGGGAATTCCTGGAATTACGGTCTTGGGCAGGAAGGGAACTCAAGTAGGAAAGTCAGCAATCTAAATTTCAAACCCCGGGAACCTTCTTTGTATATAACCTAATGATCTCCTTCGCTCAACACAGTGCTTGCTGAGTGAAGGAGTGTAATGGAA